GATGAGGGTCTAGGCCCGAAACGTCAGCCTTCCTGCTCCTCTGATGCTGCTTGGCCTGCTGTGTTCATCCAGCTCTACACCTTGTTATCTCATTGACTTCATTCAGTTGGCCAAGCTACTTCCTGCCTCAATGGTGAAAGCTGTTAGAGATACTACTTGCTGATGATTATGTATTCTCATCTGCATTGGTGAAAACTAGCTGGATCAAAGTGAGTTCCAAAACAACTGAAGTGACAAATTGAGGAGAGAGACAGTTATGCAGCTAGATAATCTTGTACAGAGATGGTCAAAGGTGTGACAAAACCTTTGAAGTGCAGCACAAGGGGGATTAAAACAAAAACTTGATAAATAAAAAATGTAATCTTTGCATTGATGAGAAATAATCTTCCAATGATGCAGTCTATCAGGACTATTATTTTTATGCTTAAGGCTAAACACTCTCAAAATAAGCTATGCCAAGGTGCCAAATCAAGAGTTCAGTAATTTTGTAGAGTGTATAATTGTGCTGAAGAAAAAAATAATGAATAAAGATATTCTGAAGAGGTTTCCATAATTAGAGTCTTGGAGTCATAGAGCTATACAGCATGGAAACAGACCCTTTTGCCCCACCCATCCATGCTGACCGGGTATTCCAAATCAATCCAGTCCCAGTTGCCAACACGTGGCCCATATCCCTTCAAACCTTTCCTATTCATATAGCCATCCAGATGCCTTTTATATGTTGTAATTGTACCAGCCTCTACCACTTCCTCTGGCAGCTCATTGCATACATGCACCATCCTCTGCATGAAAATGTTGTCCCTTAGGTCCCTTTTAAATCTTTTCTCTTTCACCTTAAACCTGTGTCCTCTAGTTTTGGACTCTGCTACCTAAGGGAAAAGACCTTGACTGTTCACCCTATCTATGCCCCTCATGATTTTATAAACTTCCATAAGGTCACCCCTCAGCCTCTGACACTCTGGGGAAAATTGCCCCAGCCTATTCAGCTACCCTCTGTAGCTCAAACCCTCCAACCCTGCAACATCCTCAAATCTTTTCTGAGCCCTTTCTAGTTTCACAACATTGTTTATAAAGCAGGGTGACCAGAATTGAACTTAGTATTCCAAAAGTGGCCTAACCATTGTCCTGTAAAGCCACAACATGACCCCCGAACTCCTGTACTCAATGCACTGACCAATAAAGATAGGTATACCAAATGCCTTTTTCACTCCTGTCTATCTGCACCTCAACTTTCAAGGAACTATGAACTAGCATTCCAAGGTCTTTGTTCAGCAACATTCCCCAGGATCTTGCTGTTAAGTGTATACGCCCTGCCCTGATTTGCTTCTCTAAAATGTAGCACCTCACATTTATCTAAACTAAACTCCATTTGCCACTCCTTGGCCCAAGGTCGCATTGTACTTCTTTGCTGTCCGCTGTACCACGAATTTTAGTGTCATCTACAAACTTACGAGCCATTCTTCAGCATCTGCAGTTCCTACTATCTCTGAGCCATTCTTCCTCCTGTGTTCACATCCATTTATATAAAATGACAAAGAGCAGTGGACCCAGCACCAATTGTTGTGGCATTCTGCTGGTCACAGGCCTCCAGTCTGAAAAGCAACCCTCCACCACCACCCTCTGCCCCTACCTTCGAGGCAGTTCTGTATTCAAATGGCTGTATCCAAATTCTTCAAACAGATTTGACACCTTGAGTTGACTTTGTGAAATAGGAGTAAAAAAAATTGGACAAATTCTAGTTTTTCCCTGGATGCTTTACCATCTCTACACAACTAACCTTTTAGCTCTTTACAGCAAATGTGACATGCAAAATGGAACTCATTGTCCCGTTTTTGGAAAAAAAAGACAGATCGCAAGTGTGTAGCATTTGTCAAGTAACGCATGCTTCTGCTTCAGGTTTCATTCGAGGACTAAAAAGGTTCAGTTGAAAGCACATCGGTATGTGTTAGGAGCTTATTACTGTACAACCATTCACGCTGTGATTGCGCACATTCAGTTGTTTTTGCAGAATCGGCAGAAGTTCAATAAACTGCCAACCAATGCATAGTTTCATTGTTAACCAAATGTGCAATAACAGTTTGTTTGTAACCGTTTAAATGTTGATTTTGGGCTAATTTAAAATGACACCAGTGTCTGAACTACCTTGGTGCTGGTGATTGTATGAGGGTACATGTATGAAATAGAGAGTGTTAAGATTTAATTTCCAGTAGTATGTATCTATTAGAATGATGATAGTCCCAGAAATTGTTGGTTGATGCATTATTCTTGGTTCCAATTAAATATTGCTTTTTTAAAACACCACCCTTTTGTTACTCTTAACATCATGGAACATTATTCCTGTAATATGCTTTAATTCTAATAATTGCTAAATGAACGTATTTTGAATTATTAAATTTTAAAACTTTTCTCTATCTAAACAGGGACGGACGTATGTTGTTTGATTATCTAGCAGATAAGCATGGAGTAAGTGAGCATTTGTTGATTTCTGTGAATATTTAATAATGAGTGCAGTATAATATTGTAATTCATTTTCTGTGAAATGATCCATGAGTAAGGAATGAATCAAAGCATTTATACTCTCCCTTATGCTTGAGGCAAATTTTGAACCCAGAGAAAAAGATTGAGGCATTAGAACAGTAAATTCAAGCAGAATAGAACCAGAAGGGATGGATAGTTTAACAAAGATTGCAAATCAATGAATGAGGTAATTGCAGGAAATAAAAATATATAAATGCAATTTGGTTTCTTTGTCTGAATGCATGACACATATCTATTTTTATTCATTTATGGGATGTCGACATTACTGGCTGGACCAGCATTTATTTCCATACCTAATTTCCCTTGAACTGGGTGGCTTGCTGGAGCCATTTCAGAGTGCAGTTTAGAGTCAACCATGTTGCTGTAGGTCTAGAACCACATATAAGCTGGACCAGTTAGGCAAGGCAGATTTCCTTCCTTAAAGGACACTAGTGAGCCAAATGGGATATAATTGAGAGTTACATGGTCACTGTTGAGTAGCCTTTTATTAGCAGATGGTGAAACCCAAATCTATGCTGGGATTTAAACTCATGCTTCGGATGATGGATTGCTAGTCCAGTGAATTTACTACTCCCTCTCCCATCTTATCTGCAATAAGAGAGATGAACTAGAGGCATAAGTAGAAATAAGTGCTAATTGCTAATCACCATGCCAGAGATATGGTTACAGATTAATTTAGATTGGGAAATAAGTATTCTAGGGTACATTGTATTTCCAAAGGACAGACAGAATGGCAAAGGAGGAAAGGTATTCTCGATAGGAAAAGATGGCATAAGGACATTTGTGACCTGGGATCTGACCTCCCAACAGCGTGATGTAACATCAGTATGGCTGAAAATTAGAATCATAGAATCCCTATAGTGCTGAAAGAGGCCATTTGGCCCATCGAGTGTGCACCGTCCCTCCAAAGAGAATCCCACCCAGACACAGCCTCCTACCCTGTAATCCCACATTTACCATAGCTTGCACAGCCCTGGATACTACGGGACTATTTAGCATGGCCAGTCCACCTAACCCACACGTCTTTCGACTGTGGAGGAAACTGGAGTGCCCTCAGGAAACTCATGCAGATATGGGGAAAACGTGCAAACTTCACACGGTCAGGTACCCAAGGCCAGAATCAGACCTGTGAGGAAGCAGTGCCAACCACTGAGCCATCGTGCCACCCAAGGTGTAACAGTGGAAGGAGCCCAAGGAATAACAAGCCAGAAAGGATTGGTAGTGGTAGGTCATTGCCCCCCTGACAGTAATTATACCATTTGGCAGAAGATTAAACAGGCAATTATTGACGTTTCTAGTAATTGCAGTGTGATAATTGAGTGCAGGATTTTCTAATCTTCATTTGGGCTATGAAAATGAAATTAGCAAGGATGGTCTAGAAGTTCTTTGCTGAATTTTTTTTGACAGTTTGTTGGAGCTGAGGAACCTACTGGGGTGAGACTGTCTTAAACCTAACATTGTGTAATGAAGTATGGTTAATTTGTAGCATTGTTATAAAATTCGAAAATAATGATCATAATACTGTTGAATTCGATGTTAAGTTTGAAAATGACATACTTCAGTCGCAAGAATCTTAAACTGAAATGAAACCAATTACATTAGTATCGAAGAAGAACCAGCTAAGGTTATTTGGATTGGTGGATGAAAAGGTATGGTGGTCATCGAATAGTGGAAAATTTTTTCAAAAGTCCGGAATGTTTTTAAAGTGTGTTGGAAAATAAAAACTCAAAGAAATGCCTATCTGTGTCTCTCTCGGGAAGTTGAGGTTAGTATTAGATTAACACTATTATTTTTTAAAACAAGTAGCAAATCAGAGGATTGTAAGTATATGAGAAATCAACAGTGTTCCACAAAGAGGTTGATCTGAGGTGGTAAAAATAGACTCTGAAAGTAAACTAGCCAGAAATATAATTACAGATTGTAAGAGAATTTACGAGTGTATAAAAAGGAACAGAATTGCTAAAATAAATGTAAGCTCTTCGCAGACAATGACAGGAGACCGTGTCATGGAGAATGAGAAAATGATTATTGATGATAACGGGAGCCAGTAGGTGTACCATACCTGAATTTCTACAATATATAAGCTACCATGCAGGACATTAATAGGCATGTTATAAGTTTATGAAGTTGGAAATATACATTAGCATGGATAGAGGATTGGCTAAGGCACGGAAACAGACATTAGCAGTAAATAAACCAGGCATTTTCAAGATGGTTGGCAGTGAATAGTGGAGTGCAGCAAGGATCATTGTGGGGCTTTAGCTATTTATCATTTATGTTAAATGACTTGAAGAGAGTGTGGCCTAGCTAGGCTTGCTGATGATACAAAGTCAGATAGAAAGATTTAAACTGTTTAGAGGACACAGGTTGCTAAAAGATGTAGGCAGCTTAAATGATTGAAGAACAAGATGGCAGATGGAGTTTATTTGAAGTTGTTTCCTTTTATTTATAAGAATAGAAAAACAGATTTTGTTTGGGCATGAAATTTCAAACTGTTAATGTTCAGACGGAATTGTACAAGGAATACAGGAAGTCAGCACAGAAATGCAGCAAGCAATTAAGCATTTCTGAAGAAGGATCTTTACCCAAAATGTCAGCTTTCCTGCTCCTCTGATGCTGCCTGGCCTGCTGTGTTCCTCCAGCTCCACACTGTGTTATCTCTGACTCCAGCATCGGCAGTTCTTACTATCTCTAAGCATGTGGCATATTGGCGTTTTATTACAATAGGACTAGAGTACAGGAATAAAGAAGTCTTAATCTCACTTTTTATTTTGCTGACATCACATCTGGAATCCTGTGTAGGTTCAGTCTCCACATGTATGAAATGATATATTTCAATTGGAGGCAATTCAGCAAAACTTCACAAACTTGATCCTAATGAGCAGAACATTGTCCTTTGTAGGAGATTGTGTAAATTGGGCCCATGTTGTCTGGAGTTTAGAGAAATGATAGGCACACTCATTGGAATACATAAGCAACTTGGGATGGTAGATGCTGAAAGGTTGTTTCTACTGCTTAGGGGGTCTAAAACATGGCACAGCCTTATATTAAGGACTAATCATTTACGACCAAAATGAAAAATTGCTCTGGTTGTGAACGTTTGGAATTCTGTACCTCAGCAGGTTGCGAATGCTCCATCTTTGAATACATTTAATTCTGGGGCAGGGAATTGTGGGATATGGAAGCACACAAGGAGATGGAGTTGAATCCTAAGATGAGTAATAATTGTACTAAATGGTGGAGCGAGCTTTACCGATGATCTACTGTTGCTCTTATTTCTTTTCTTTAAAGTATGTTTGGATAGTGTAGACAGACTTCATTTTTAATGGGCACAATCAAGTATGTTGTAACAAACTATTTCACTATTTGCTAAAATGGTTCATTTCATACCTAGGATATGTTCTGATGTCAAATGGAACTTGAGTTCATACATTGGAAAACTCAGATTTTCTATCTTCAATTGGGAAAACTGATGAAAAACGCATATTTTAAAATCTGCATACCATGATACAGTCTACAAGAAATTGAAAACAATAATTTGTCCTTGATTATTAAACAACGGAAGCAATATTTTCATTTCAATGTGTTTCTGCCTTGCTGTTTATTTTTTATCTATTTTTGTTTGAAGTTTCGTCAGGAATATTTGGACACCTTATACCGATATGCTAAATTCCAGTATGAATGTGGCAATTATTCTGGTGCAGCAGAATATCTCTACTTCTTCAGAGTTCTGGTGAGTACCATTTCCTGCAGGTATACTTCAATGTTCTGATCAAATTCGCCTTATTTTTCACGATTACCAGAAATTATTTCCTATACAAAACTGCATTCGTGGCTGAAATGTAGCTGCTATACATAATTGCAGATATGACTTGGGAGCAGTGGTATGGTTTTGAGGTTGGAGCAGGGCTCATTTGGTGAGTAATACTTTTACTTGTGATTGACTCAGTGTTGTATCAGAGATTAGAAAAGAGCAACAGTCTTAAAGAGAATTTGCAAGACCATTTTGGCTCTGTTGTCATACATGTCTCCTTCCATCATTCTTCATCTAATTCGACTAATATAGCCTTCAATTTCATCCATCTTCCTCCTAAATGCTTCTATGCCGTTCTCAAATAATCCATATGGTTGTCAATTCCACATCCTCATCATTCTGCATGAAGAAGTTTCTCTGGAATTCCATGTTGGTTTTGTTCAAGGCTGTCTTATTTTAGTCGCTCTTTGTTTGGCTTACCATGCAATCTGATCATTTCAACGTTATTGGTGAGTTTTATGTTAGATTATATGCTCTTGGAGAATTCTGCTAACCCTAGATCTGAACCAGGGCCGTGAGTTCTATCAAGGCAACTTCCTGAAACTGTTTAGTAGCTGACATAATGTTGCCTAAATGGTTTGGATTGATGATTGTCAATGCCTTTGATCCCGGACTCCCGAGGTATTGGTAATGACTGAAAACTTGTGCAATTCTTAAGAATCCAAAAAAAAATCTCAAGAGTGTGAGGTGCAAACGAGAGAGTAAGCACATTTGTTTACTCTCCAGAGCAAATGGATTTCTGAGGAATCTGTCTGAAAATTTGAAGTTGATTTTAATGCTACTAGCTCGTGGTTGTCATTGTCTAGCCAATAAAATTAGTTGTTGAGGCAACCAGGAAACTGGCCATTTTGAATCCAGTCATGTGTGATGCCATAAGTTTAATTGCTAATAGTCCTAGAGATCTACAGCACATAAAAAGGCTTTCAACCCATTGAGTCTGCTTTGGTCAAAAGCAAGCAGCTAACTATTCTAAGATAACAAGGTGTGGAGCTGGATGAACACAGAAGACCAAGCAGCATCAGAGGAGCAGGAAGGCTGACGTTTCGGGCCTAGACCCTTCTTCAGAAATGGGGGAAGGGGATTCTGAAATAAGTAGGGAGAGAGGGGGAGATGGATAGAGGAGAAGATAGGTGGAGAGGAGACAGACAGGTCAAAGAGGTGGGGATGGAGCCAGTAAAGGTGAGTGTAGGTGGGGAGTTAGGGAGGAGATAGGTCAGTCCAGGGAGGACGGACAGGTCAAGGGGGTGGGATGAGGTTAGTAGGTAGGAGATGGGGGTGGGGCTTGAGGTGGGAGGACGGACAGGTTAGAGGTCTAGGCTGGAAACGTCAGACTTCCTGCTCCTCTGATGCTGCTTGGCCTGCTGTGTTCATCCAGCTCTACACCTTGTTATCTCAACTATTCTAATCCTGTTTCAAAGCACTTGGCCCATAGCCTTGTATACTTTGGTATAACAAGTGCATATCTAAACACTTCTTAAATATTATGAGGGATTCTATCTCTACCACCCTTAAAAGCAGTGAGTTCCCTATTCAGTTGGAAACAAATATCCTCAAACCCTTCTAAACCTCCTGCCTTTTACCTTAAATCTATTACCCATATCATTGATCCCTCTACCAAGGGGAAAACTTCCTCCCTGACTACCCTATCTATGTCTTTTTTGATTCTACATATCTCAGTCATGCTCCCCCTCAGTTTCCTCTGCTCCAAGGAAAACAACCACATTTTATCCAATCTCTCTTCCTAACTGAAATTCTCCAACCCAGGCAACATCCCAGTTAACCTTCCTTGCACCCTCTGCAGTGCAACCACATCCCTTCTGTAATGTAGACAGCAAGGTTCACGGAACACTGGGAGGGCTGAGATAGTTGATGTCAAAATGAAGCTGGAATAGTGACTTAAAAAAGTGTTCTTATATTGCTTGTCAGTCAAGGTTCAAATGCATTCTCATTTCTGAATCAGAACATATGGGTTCAAGCCCTACTTCAGGTCTTGAGCATAAATCAAAGCTGACATTCCAGTGCGGTGCTGAGGGAATGCAGTATTGTCTGAACTGCAGTGTCTCGGGCAAGATAGTAAAGCAAGAATTGTTAGTTCTCAGATGAATTTAAAGGATCCAAGGGGATTTAGTTAAAGAAAAGCTGGGGAATTTCCCTGGTGTCTTGACCAATGTGTATAACTCAATCAATATCCCCAAGAACCATGACCTGTTCACTGAGATAGCAAAAACTGCAGATGCTGGAATCAGAGATAACAAAGTGTGGAGCTGGAGGAACACGACAGGCAGCATCACAGGAACAGGAAAGCTGAAGAAGGGTCCTGCCCCAAAACATCAGCTTTCCTGTTTCTCGGATGCTGCCTGGCCTGCTGTGTTCCTCCAGCTCTACACTTTGTTATCTTTGATCTGTTCACTTTTTTTGCAATTAGAGGATCCTGCTATGTGCAGATTTGCTAAGTTTCTGATTATTACTTTTCATAGATACTTCCTTGACTTCAGAATACAAGAGGAAGTCTAGAAATAAAAGTCTTGTCTAAATTTTCAAGTTAATGAGAGGGAGCCTCTGATGTGATGTGGCCTCTGACTCGAGCAGCGCTCAAAAAACCATTAGAAGCCTGCTTTGCCATTTGATAGGATCGTGGCTGATATGGCTTTCTGTGTGTCCACTTTGATGCATTTCCCCATAGTCTTCGATTGCCCTACTGGTCAAGAATCTATTTATCTCAGCCTTAAGTACAAAAAAAGGACTGTACCCCCACAGCTCTCTGTGGCAAGGAGTTCCAAAGAAATTCTTCTTCATCTCACTCTTCAATTGGCACTCCATTAATATGAGACGATGCCCTCTGGTCCTAGACTCTCCAATGAGAGGAAACATCCTCTCAGCATTTACTTTGTCAAGCTCCTTAAGAATCCTATATGTTTTAATGAGATCACCTCTCATTCGTCAAAACTTCAGTGAGTAGAGTCCAACCTGTTAGCATTTGCTCAAAAAAAACAATCCCTCTATGCCAGGGATCATCTTAATGAACCTTGTCTGAACTGCCTCCAATGTATAGATATCTTTCCTAAATAAGGGGATTGAAACTGCTCACAGTAATCCAGGTGTGGTCCCACCAGCACCTTGTGCAGTTACAGAAAGACTTTCGTACTCTTATACTCCAATCCCCTTGAAATAAGTGCCAACATTCCATTAGCCTTCCTGATTACTTGCTGCCTCTGTGTGCTTGCTTTATGTATTTCATGCACAGGGACCCATTAGTCCCTTTGTGTTGCAGCTTTTTCCAACTTCCCTCCATTTAAATAATATTCTGTTCTTTTGTTCTGCCTTCCAAAGTGAACAGCTTCACTTTTGCCCACTGCTTAACCTATCCGTATTTCTCTAAACTGTTTGTATCCCTCTCAAAAGCTGCCTTTCCACCTATTTTTGTCTCCTGTGCAAATTTGCCTACATTTCATTCACTTCTGTTCTATCAAGACATGTTGGAAACAGTTACAGTCCCAGCACTGATTCCTTTGAAACACCACTAGTTATAGGTTGCCAACCTGAAAAAGAAGCCCTTATCCCTGCCCTTTCGTGTGCATGATCCAGTACATGCCAATATGCTACCTCCAATACCATGGGCTGTTAGCTTCTGACTTAAACGTTTGTGAGGTTCCTTGTCGAACACCTTCTGGAAGTACAAATACAGCATTTCAACTAGTTCCCCTCTGTCCACTCTTGTTGAGACATTTTGAAAATCTCCAATAACTTAGTCAGACGTGATTTTGGATAGGTAGGGGAGGGGAGGGGAGCTGAGGAGCAGCGGGTGTGGGGGAGGGGAGG